GACCTACATTTCCCCATCTCCTCCGCCACCCACCTCTCTCCCCCCATCCTCTAGCAACCATCATTCTTCTTCTACGTCTGTGAGATTGGATGTGTGTTTTTCTTTTTTTTTAAGATAACACATATAAATGATACCATACAGTATTTATCTTTCTCTGTCTGGCTTATTTTAGTTAGCGTAATGTCCTCTGGTTTCACCCATATTTTTGTAAATGGCAGGATTGCCTTCTTTTTTTATGACTGAATAATGTTTCACCGTGTGTGTGTACATGTTTGTATGTCTGCGTGTACATCTCACACTACATGAGTTTTTATGTGTTAAATTTTTTAGCTTGGTGTAGTAGCCGAGGCAGTATAGTTTACAGTTCAGAGCACGTGCTTTGCTGTAGTCAAAAGGAACTGGTTTCAGTCTCAACTCAGGCCTACTATCTGTGTGACCTTACACAAGTCCCTTAATTTCTGTAAGCCTAGCATCCTCATTTAGAAATGTGAATTCTAACAGTATCATGAGAATTAAATGGGAAAAAACATGGAAAGGCCTTACTTTGCCAACTGCCTAGTGCCTGGCGTGTCACAAGTCCTGAAGTGAAGTGTTAGTCGCTTAGTCATGTCAGCTCTGTGCAACCCCATAGACTGCAGCCCGCAGGCTCCTCTGTCCATGGCGATTCTCCAGGCAAGAACACTGGAGTGGGTTGCCATGCCCTCCTCCAGGGGATCTTCCCAACCCAGGGATCAAATCTAGGTCTCCTGAATTGCAGGCAGATTCTTTACCAGCTGAGCTACCAGAGAAGCCTGGTCATAAGCCCTCGTAGCTATTTTTCAGTTAGCAGTCTTGGGCACCTGATGTGTATCACTTGCCTGCTAGTCGCTGGGAATGGCGACACCTACGGGATATGGTGGCTGCCTCTCTGACAGGCTTAGTGTAGTGAAAAAGGAGTTACAAAGGGACACAACACGTGTGTGCAAAGGACTGTGGTGTACAGAAAAAACATTCTAAAGTGACTGACTTGTTTATTTTAAAGAAGAGATGGTAGTGGCTTATTTATTTCAGTTAATAAACTGCCATCATCTACACTTGGAAACGAAATAAACAGAGCACAGAATGAGTGATACTGTGGGCTCCCATGGGGCAGCACAAGCAAGAAAGTCAGTGATACAAAGAAAATGCTTTAAAAATAAAGACTGGAGTCTACGTGACATTGGCTGTACGTGTTGTCCGGGGCCGTGTTTTGGTTCCAGGTACCAGGATTGTGCACGGCTGTTTTTGCCTCCATGTCAGTGGTACTGGGAGCCAGGCGTGCCCACTGAGGGTGCAGGACCACCTAGTGGCAGGCAGGCCCTAAGGCAGAGGCTCCGGTGTTCCCTCCCTGAACTGCAGGTGTTCATGCAGTGACGCTTGTCCCCAGTCACAGCCACATTTAGGAAATACTGGTTGGGATTATAAAAAGATATTCCCAGTTCCCCAACTCTCCAGTTCTGTATCGTGAATTTATTCATTGCTTCTATTTCATATACTTGAGAAAAATGATTTAAGGTGACAGTGCTACCCGTTTCAAGCAGGAACACTTGAAATGTGATCCACCAGTAATACTTTGCTAGGTTTAGGTTTGAGAGACTCACTTTTGGAGAATGAATGGCCCAGGCGAAGTAGCCTCTCAGGAGAGGGTTACATATCTTACCAGTTCATATACAGCTTTCCCGGTTAGGGAGAGCAGTCAGGAAGCAGAATCATAATATTACTGTTTCAGTATTTAGTTCATGTAATCTGGAAATGCCAGTGCTAATACCATTTCTAAAATATTCAGCATCTACAAAATAAAACTCAGTGAAATCAAACTGTTAAGTACAAAATCTCAGACTTGTAAAAAAAATAAAATTTGTAGACACATAAACAGACTTTCTTATAGGCCTGCTGCTTCTTTTGACTGAACACCCTTCCCTTGTTCACCTTCCACAGAGCCAGCACCTCAGTCCTCCCCTGCGGTGGGGGTCTTCTGGACCACCAACCTCTCTTGCCTTGGCTCTGGTTCCCAACAGTCATTTCTTTCCAGCCATCGTATCCTGCTGAAAGCATGATAACCCTGCCCTCCAGAAGGGAGATCAGCCTAACCTCCAAAACTGGGCTTTTTCAGGGTTTGTGGTGGGGGTTGCAGGGAGAGGATAGTAGGAGAGAATTGGAGAACTAGAGTGGAAGAGAGCTAAGAAATACGGACGGAGCTGCTGATTGATGTCTGAAATAACTACATTGTACCAACAAAAATACTAGTATTTACTTGGTACAGTTGTCCCTCCATATCCATGGAGGATTGGTTCCAGGAGTCCCCACCCCCATATCAAAATTCTCCATGCTCAAGTCCCTCATATAAAATGATATATTAGTTTCCTATAACCTAAGCACATCCTCCCAAGTACTTTAAATCATCTCTCAATTACTTATAATACCTGGTACAGTGTGAATGCTATGTAAATAGTTGCCAGTGTGTGACAAATTCAAGTTGTGCTTGCTGGAACCTTCTGGAATTTTCATTTTTCTCCAAGCATTTTCCATCTGAGCTAGGTATAACATGCAGACGTGGAACATGTGGATAAGAGGGCCCACTGTATACTGGGAGGCTGTAAAGCCAACAATTGTTTTTATGGTCACTGTTAAATCTATTTGAAGTGTTCAAAACTTTATTTTGCTTTATAGAACAACACACATGATAAAGATCTTTCTTTTGTCTTGAGAATAGACAAATAATGCCTAGAATAAAATCTCTTCTGAGAAGGAGGATAGAAAATTTTAAATATTGTACACACTTCCCCAGGATATTGTACCTTCCACAGGATATTTGTACCTGCCTATTTGTAGGATTTTGTACCTACCCAGGATATTTCTACAAAGGTACATTCTAACTTTGTAGAATGCTGTTTTATGGTGTGTGTGTTTTAGTTTGAATTCCAAAAGTCAGAGTAATTAGAGAAGCTGGCATGGGAATGAATCAAGTCAGCCTGGGCTCTGTGTGTAAGACTCTACACCTTGTCTCCCTGGACTGGACTCTTTTCTCTAATTAGTGTTTCTCAGTCTAGAGAAGGAACCAGTTCTAAAGGATAAACAGGGTGATTTTTTTTGGAATTTCTTTTCAGTGCTTTCATTGAAATATACGTGAATATAAAAGGAAGTATATATACACTTATTATTCATATAGCACTTAAATATTAGAAAACCAAAGCAGATTTACAAATTAAATATTAACAAAAGTCTAAAATAAATAAAACACAAATTAGCCTCATGGATTTAATGTGATGAGCAAGAATGCCTTTCTGAAGGGAGACCCCTCTTGCATTGTGATTAGGACTGCAGGCTGCCAGGCCCGGGGACTTGAGTTCTGTGGCTTGTCCTGTGCACCCGGGGATGACTCAACTCTCTTTTGTCCTTTCAGCTGCTATCAAACCTTCATTCATGCAGCGAGTCAGGACTGCTGTGGCCTTTTCTTGGGCGCAAATGCATCACTTACAAAGGGAAATTGCTTTTTTCCCTTTCCTTGGACAATTCAGTATACCGTGGCACCAGTGCAATCATTAAAATAAATGCAAATTATATAGTAACACATCATTATAAGGAGTTCATTCAGAATGTGTTTTTATTTTGTTTAGGATATCATTTTTTCTTTTTTTTTTTAGAAAAAACACAAAATTTAAAAAATGCGTAGAACACTCTCAGATTTCTGGGACTAAATCCATGGTTTTCTGTTTGTGAAATACTGCTTCAGGTCACTGTGATCCATACTGTTGATTTTTTGTTTGATTGCTTCTGTTAGGTTATGTAGCAAACAGTATTCATTAGCTTAATCTTTTAGGAGAGATTTCCTTTTTCTCCTGATAAATGAAACTAACGTACCTCTTAGATATATTTGTAACCTACCTATTAGATATGTTTGTGGTTGTTTTTATTTGCAGGCATACTTTGGGGATATTGTGGGTTTGGTTCCAGACCACCACAATAAAGCAAATATTGCAATAAAACAAGTCATACAACTTTTTTTTGTTAACCAGTGCATATAAAAGTTATGTTTATACTGTATTCTACTAAATGTGCAATAGTATTATGCTTAGAAAAACAATGTACAAACCTTAACTAAAAAATACTGTATTGCTAAACAAGAATGCTAGCCATCATCTGGGCCTTCAGCGAGTTGTAATCTTTTTGCAGTAGTAGTGTCAAAAGTCACTGACCAGGTCACCATAACAAATGATATAAGAAAATATGAAATATTGCGAGAATTACCAAAATGTGGCACAGAGACATAAGGGGAGAAAATGCTGCTGGGAAAACGATGCTGATAGTGGTATAAGACTAAACATTGCCATAGAACTTCAGTTTATTTAAAAAAAAAAAGAGTATCTGTGGAATGCAATAAAGTGAAGAGCAATAAAATGCAGTATGCTTATCTGTTATTCCCTTCTTTAAAAGTTTATTCAGATTTCATTTACATACTGATGGAATATCTTGTGTAGGCCAAGCCAGGGACGACTTTCTAAATACCTAGTTATGGACAACTTTCTTAATATTTGATTTCTCCCAAGAGTAACTGTGTGTACCTGTGTGTGTGTAAGAGGTAGACTTAACGTGCTGACAAATGAAGTTTATATTATGCATTATCCACTTTACCTAACAAGATTAACCTCTGAAGTCATGGTTGTAAAGCTCCTGTTTTGGTATTAGATTTTTTATAAACGAAAATTCTATTAATGCTGTAAATTATGGAGTTAGTGAAATGGTGTTTTTGTAAAGTTCCTTTAAATTTTTTTTTAAGTTGTTTTTAGTGTTTTTCTCAGTCTGTATTTGTCAAAACAACTGGTCTATTCCATCATAACTCCAGTCAGCTGTTTAAATGGTGTTAGTTCCATGGCCAAATAGTCAGATAGGTTATCTATTTTGTTGTTTGTTTTGTTATTTGTAGGAGATAAAAAGTTCAAGTTTTGTAATGCAACTAAGAGACTTTATTTTTCTTTACACAGAAGGCTCGACCATCTATAATGCAGGTAAATGATACTTTAAAATTTATTAATGTATTTTTCCAGCAGTATTCTCTGTGGAATATATAATATTGCCAATAATGTATTTCATTCTAGGATGCTGTAACGCTTTGTTCCTACCCTTTTATCTTTGATGCCCAAGCCAAGACCAAAATGTTGCAAACTGATGCTGAACTGCAGATGCAGGTAACATATTTTAAAAATTATTTTTTCCTATTATGGGTTTCTTTCATCTTACACATTCAGTTGTAATTTTTTCCTAATAGGAGAAAGTTCATTTGGGTAAAGTTGTAGTATAACTTTTAGAACCTATAGAAAAAGTTTCAGCAATTCTCTATTGAATAAAGCAAATACAAGTGAAGGGACATTTACATAAACTGAGGGTTGACTGGTGTCTTCATAAAGTGTCGTATAGTAAATATTTGCCTTTGTGGGCCATACGGTCTCAAGTATAAATCTCTGTTGTAGCACAAAATTTGAATTTTACATAATTTTCACATGTGTGAAATATTCTTTTTTTAATTTTTGTTTAACCATTTAAAAATGTTAAAACTATTAGTAGCTCAAGAGCTGTATAAAAACAGGCAGCAGGCTGGATTCAGTCAATGGGCCATTGTTTGCTGATCCTTGATACATTATTAAATGGAGCTTGGCAGTTCTTCATTGAGCCAAAACTTAAATTATAGAGATTTGTTTAATTTAAACACATGTTTTTATTGTAAAATATAATTGGTTTTGGCAAGCCTGCAAAGATGTTTGTGAACTAGCAATCCAAACCTATCAATTCCTACTGCTGGTAGATACGTAACTTCATTCATCTCTCTCCCCATCTCCCCATCTTTCTGACTCTGTCTCTAGTTCTTATTTATATCTATCTCTATGTATCTGTCCGTCATATTGACAATTTAAAACTTTTCCAGAGAAAATGGACATTTTTCAAAGAACTAAAGCTGTTTAGCAAGTGGTTATTGGGTTTCTTTTCCTGCTACTTCGAAAGTCACTATTTCTACCCACTCTCTATCATCACTTTCTTCTACTAAGATATTATTTCAGTCTTAATCCGCTTAGTCCAAAGCATTTTCCTGGAATGAGTCATGGATTGTATGGTTCATAAAGTGTTTCAGTTAATCTCTTTGGGTTCATATTAGAAAGACTTGTGTCTTTTGTAAACATGACTGAGAAAATCTATTGGAAGAGTTAGGAGGAAAATAAAGAACAAGGTGGAGATGCAGCATGTCTGCCCTGCCCTGTACCCACCCCTGGTCCAAAGGCACAGCTGACAGCCGCCTCCACTCACAGATGTGCTCTTGGGTGATAACTGTGTTCTTGGGTGTGCTGTTCCAGGTGGCGGTCAACGGGGCCAATCTGCAGAACGTCTTCATGCTGCTCACCTTGGAGCCTCTGCTGGCCAGAAGCCCCTTCCTGGTCCTTCACGTTCGCAGGAGCAACCTTGTTGGAGATGCCCTAAGAGAGCTGAGCATTCATTCTGATATTGATTTGAAAAAGCCTCTCAAAGTGAGCCCTGTATTATATTTATCTAAGTAACCTTCCTGGGTTTCTTTAAAACAGCATCAGATGAAGCAGCAGAGATCTTATTAAAATCATGGAGTGCAGCATTCATTATTTCTTTCATTCATTTTACAAGAGTTTACTCACCTCCTTCTGTCCGGTCACCAAACAGACCATCTCAACATGACATCAGATAGAATGCCAGTGGATTATTTGAGGGACTGTAGGGCCTTCTTTGTCTGCTCTTTCCCGGGTACCTGTTCCCACTCTACCCAAACCATGCAAACAGTACCACTGCTAAAGCTTCAATTAGGTAAAACTCCCAGGCCAGCATCTAGGAAGTCTTTGGATGTCAAAAATTTCAGAAAAACAAGGTAAAAAAGAAAACAGAAAAGTAGTGAAATTTTCTGGGCAGCTGGTCGTCTGTTCTGATAGGCCCTTTTTAGTACTCTGAAATGATTAAGAAATTGTCTTTCCTCATAAACTATGCATGTTTTTGTTACCACTTAATGTATTCTTGGGGCTTAGCACAATGCTTGGAACACAGCAGCTGGTCAGTAAATATTTAGTGAATTATTGAAGTTTTAGATCATTTACCTTTCCCTTCAGAAGACTTTCCTGTTTCCAATCCTGTTGTAAACTCCATTTCTGAAATGTAATAGACAAGAAACTGATGGTATCCCTTTTCAGAATTTCAGTGGGTAGCATCAGTCCCATCAGTCTGCCTGGGAGTTCTCCCTAGAACTTCTGGGATAGATTTTTGATATTGCAAACAGAAGGTGCTTTCTTTGCCGCCTGTTTTCAATCACTAATTCAGATGAGACTCTTTTTGCTTGGTAGCACGTCTGAGTTAAGTCTTCTACTGACATACATATAATCGGAGTCCTTTACTCTCCTCCTGCTCTAGGCAACCTTGAGCACAATATTCAGGATAATTTTTCTCTTTCTTTTTTTTTTAGCCGCACTGTGTGGCATGTGGGATCTTAGTTCCCTGATCAGGGATCATACCTGTGCCCCCTGCAGTGGAAGTGCAGAGTCTTAACCACTGGACTGCCAGGGAATTTCCCAGGATAAGTTTTTTTAAGTGCTTTTTATTTTTAGCTCTGTGCCTGAGCGCTTCCAGTAAAGTGGGGATGATAATAGTAATTTCTGTGTGTAAGACTATTCTGAGGATTAGGTTAATAGAATTTAAGTGGCTGGCATGTAGAAAACTCTTAATAAATCTCGTCCTTTGGTTTACTGTGGTTCGGTCCAGCGTGCTCCATTTAGATCTGTAATGGGTCTCTTTATAGCCCCTCACAGATGTGTCTGCTTGAACTGCTCTCTTCCCTTTCATATTCATCAGTTAGTTTAAGACCCCTACTGAGAGAGATTTCTGTCTTTACTCAGGTTAGTCATTGTTTTTCTCTGTGTGCCAGAACATTTACCTCGGAGTGTATCTGACTCTCTGAAATTTATTCTTGAATTGGTTTTTTTTAATGTTTGCCTCTCTGCCCCAAATTGATGGTAAACTTTCTGTGGACATCTGGTAAGCTTCTGACTTTGTCTATATCCCTTGAAGTGCCCAGTAAAATCTTGTGTGATTGTTAAGTGTCTTGTTAATCAACAGATACAATTTGCAGTTTCATTGCAGCAGTGTATTCTTGTATTCTGTAACATCTTCCTTTCTTTGTCCTTACTTTGGAAAGAATTTGCAAAAAAAACCCAAAAACCATAAAATGACAATGATTTCCACGAAGTACTAATTCTGCTTTCATTATTTTAAGGTCATTTTTGATGGTGAAGAAGCAGTGGATGCAGGTGGCGTCACAAAAGAGTTCTTTCTTTTACTGTTAAAAGAATTGTTGAATCCCATCTATGGAATGTTTACCTACTACCAGGATTCAAATCTCTTGTGGTTTTCAGATACGGTAAGTTAGTAATGTCATCATTCAACAGATAGATTGAACTAAACTTCCTTTTTGTTGTCAGACCAGTCCCTAGCCTTCTAACGTTTGCAAAGGGGAGCTATAACAAAGATAATCATTTAATGTGTATGAAGAGAGGATGCAGTCTTCATGTTTCACCTGTTGCCAAGACCTCATAGTTGAGTTTTGTTACCCATCAGTCCCATTTCCATTTCTAGTAGATAAGCTCCAAGCTTTGTAAATCCTCAAAGGGTAAAAAGAGTATGATAAAGAAATTGGTTTTATGACATATAAAAAGTAATTGTCAAATATATCTTATTTTAATAGCAATGATAGTATGTGTATGGATACTCATACAGATATACACATACACTTTATTTTTGAAAATGCAGTAGGAGAGCTAAGTTTTAAAAGGCATTCTCATTTCAAGCAGACTATAGTTTATTTCTTTTCCTACCAGGCTTCTCTCCCTATATCTGCATTGTCCTGAAAAGTAGCAATTAGCCTCTTGTGGCTATTTAAATTTCAGTGTTATTTAGTTAAAATGAAATAATGCTTGCGCTTCCCTGGTGTCTCAGATGGTGAAGAATCCACCTGTAATGCAGGAGACCTGGGTTTGATTCCTGGGTTGGGAAGATCCCCAGGAGAAGGGACTGGCAACCCACTCCAGTATTCTTGCCTGGAGCATTTCACATTCCCTCAGTTGTACTAGCGACCATTCAGGTGCTCAGTAGACATACGTAGTGGCTGACATCTGGGACAGAGCAGAATAGAATGTTTCCATCACTGCAGGAAGTTCTGTTGGACAGGAGAGCTCTAAATGAAGATAAGCTGTTCTCTGTATCATAGGTGAGCTGTAAATGCCTAACTTTGTCTACACTGCATCTTTGGGGGACAGTTGAACTTTTTTTTTTAATACTTTCCACCTCCGATAAAAATCACTATTATAAAACAGATCATTACTCTGTATTTGTGCTTGTGTTTAGTTAAACAATGGACATATATTAATTTTGTAACAGTATTCTAGTAATTTCTTTTTTTTTTTTTAATTAATTTATTTATTTATTTTTTATCACAACCATAGTGTATCTTTTTTTTTTTTTTACATGTATTCCCCATCCCGGTCCCCCCTCCCACCTCCCTCTCCACCCAATCCCTCTGGGTCTTCCCAGTGCACCAGGCCCGAGCACTTGTCTCATGCACCCAACCTGGGCTGGTGAACTGTTTCACCCTAGATAATATACGTGTTTCAATGCTGTTCTCTTGAAACATCCCACCCTCGCCTTCTCCCAGAGTCCACAAGTCTGTTCTATACATAGGAGTCTCTTTTTCTGTTTTGCACATAGGGTTATCGTTACCATCTTTCTAAATTCCATATATATGTGTTAGTATACTGTAATGGTCTTTATCTTTCTGGCTTACTTCGCTCTGTATAATGGGCTCCAGTTTCATCCATCTCATTAGAACTGATTCAAATGAATTCTTTTTAATGGCTGAGTAATATTCCATGGTGTATATGTACCACAGCTTCCTCATCCATTCATCTGCTGATGGGTATTCTAGTAATTTCTAGGGACATCTTTTTTTTTTACCTCTTTTATATCATTCACAAACATAGTTGAACTTTGTTAGGGATATTTCTCTGTTTCAGAAGGTAACAATATTATAGATCTTTATTCTTTCATTCTGAAAATATTTTAAGGTAAATCACAGAAGGTTTTGAGGGTGCAAGCACTGTTTTTCTTTGTAACACATTTGCATTTGTGCTGAAAGTGTTTCGTAGAGCACAACTGGTTTCACTTAATTGGCATAACCTGTGGACTTGCTATCTACAACTCCACTGTGGTGGACCTGCACTTCCCGTTGGCTCTCTATAAGAAGCTACTGAACGTGAAGCCTGGCCTGGAAGACTTGAAAGAGTTGTCACCCACAGAAGGAAGGTACGGAGCTGAAAGATGGGAACCTGGCTTGGAAAACTGAGATTAAAGGTTGAAAACACCACTTGTATAAGTTAGAGGTTGTCATTCGATTGTGCTGTGTATGCTTTGTCTAAAGATGGAAGTCCACAGCTGCTGGCTTGAAACAATGCCTGGGTCACTCTAGGGACAGAAGGATAAAAAGGAAAAGGGAAGTCATAGCTGCCCAGGAATCCAAACAATCTCTGCTTTTCTTATCCTGAACAAAATATAAGGACGTTGAGATTTGTCATGGTCCATAAATAGCAGGGGAGAAAGTATTGAAAAGGGAGCCTGTGTTTTTTTTTTAAGTCACAGATTTCCCCATCCTTTTGTATTTCTCTTTTCTTTGTCTCCTTGACTTTCACACCATGACCACACGTGCTGTACTTCTGGTCACCAAATGTGTGTGGGGTTCTCTTCCACATATCCAAGTAATTCTGCACGATGCCAGCTGGGTGTCCTACAACTTATCTCAGTTCTGACACCATCTACCTGGAGACAGATTTGGATCCCACAGGTTAAGGGTTTCTAGTGCCCTCATCCCAGAGGAATTTACAAGGATTTGGGGAGCTCTGTGCTAAGGAACTGGGGGCAGAGACCAGTATATGTATTTTTTCTGTTATCTCATGGAGTCTTTTTTAGAAAGTAGTTTAATTGGGATATAATTTGCATTCTGCACAATTCACCCAGTTAGAGTATATAATTCAGTGACTTTTATTGCATTCACAGAGTTGTGCATCCTTTACTCCATCAATTTTAGGATGTTTTCATCACCTGGAAAAGAAACATGGTATTCTTTAGTCGACATTCCCAACTTCTTCATCCCCCAAGCCCTGCTGCTGCTAAGTCGCTTCAGTCGTGTCCGACTCTGTGCGACCCCATAGACGGCAGACCACCAGGCTCCCCTGTCCCTGGGATTCTCCAGGCAAGAGTACTGGAGTGGGTTGTCATTGCCTTCTCCACTCCCAAGCCCTAGGCAACCATTAATCTACTTTCTGTGTCTGTAGACGTGCCTCTTCTGGATATTTCACATAAATGGAATCATACAATATGTGGTTTTTGGTGTCTGGCTTCTTTCACACAGCATGTTTTCAAGGTTCATCTGAGTTGTGACTTGTATCAATGTTTCATTTCTTTTTATTGTCAAATTATATTTTGTTTTATGGATATACCACATTTTGTCTATCCATTCATCAGCTGATGGACATTTGGCTTCTTTCTACAATTTGACTGTTACCAATAGTGCTGTTACGGATATTTTTACATACTTTTTGTGTAGACCTAAGTTTTTGTTTCTCTTGGGTATGTACCCAGGAGTAGGATTGCTAGGTCAAATGGTAACTTTATGTTTAGCCTTTTGAGGAACTTCCATACTATTTTCCAGAACAGTAGAGACATATTTTTAGTCATTTTCTTTCTGTCTCTTAAAAACTTTTATTCTGCGTTTCTGTGTATTGAATTTAGGTAGCATAAGGTGAAATTTAATATATAAAAAGACACCATATCCTTGGCTTTGTGTAAACAGTACAGTTCTTTTGGCTTAAGCAGGAGGTAACATCCCCCTTTTTTTTTAATAAGGAAAGAATACTAATTTTAAGATGGAGATAGAGAAAGGGTAATCTCTAAGGTACTCTCTGGAAATGAGATGGTCACACCACCAGTATAGGACACCAAGACAGAGAAATCACAAGGGACGTGGGGCAGGGGAGTGAGGCACAGAAAGAGGTAAGAAAATTTAGAAGGAATATTAAAAAGTGGCAGAGGAGACCAGGCAGAGTTACTTTTTGGTAACTGAGAGTGACAGAAATGTGTGCTGTTTTCTTTGCTAACCTGGCTGAGAATGATATGTTTCAAGTAATGATCTTGGCTGGTTAAGTGAAAAAAGATTTAAATTTTGCACAAAAAATTTTCTTCCTGGGCAACTTGTTATGGAACTGCCAGACTCTGAGCTCACTGAAGAAGTGTGAATGAAGTCTAGTTATAAGAATGTATTGTCATGACAGCTGTGATATGACCATTGTTGGCATAAACAGATTTCAGTATTCTTTAATGTGGCAGGTAATAAAGTTCTTTGCACACAGAGCCCCTTGCATTAACAAGTAAGACTAGATTCCTAAGTGGACACAGTGACTTTGAAGCTTGTGTTTTATGATGGGAGGATTATCCTTCTAATGCATACAGATAAAGCCAATCTGTAGGACCACTGCAGATCATCTCCTCACTTATCTACTTCCAGAGTATTCTAGGGTTAACATAAGTGTGTCAGATACAAAGCTGTCTGATTTTCTTCATAAATTTCAGTAAGATTTGTCACTAGGAACAGAGAAAAATTAATGAGCATCTTACAAGTCAACTCTTGTAAGACTTTTTTTCAAAATATGTTTACCGTGACTTTCAGTCTAGATTTATGTTCATTCAAGAACCTTCCTTTGTAGCATTTCCTTGCAAATAATCTGGACATGTGACTGGGATAGAAGCACTATTGCCATGTGTGATTTACCTCTTTTCTTTTCTCTGTCACACTGTGGTTAGGAGTCTTCAAGAACTGTTAGATTACCCTGGGGAAGATATTGAGGAGACTTTCTGTCTCAACTTCACGGTAAGGATTTTCTTTACTTATGACCGTAGCTGTCTCTTTTATTATGCTTACAAGTCATAATTAGCTTAACTTTTCTCCAAATCAAAGAATAAATTCAGAGACTTCTCTGAACCAAACTATTTTAGTCATAGTATCTTTTTATCATCAATGTATAGTTGTTGCAGAATATTAGTTACAAGTGTACAGTACAGTGAGTCACAATTTTTAAAGGTTAAACTCCATTTATCGTTATTATAAAATATTTGCTATATTGCCTGTGTTGTACAATATATCTTTATAGCTTATTTTATACCCAATAGTTTGTGTCTTAATCCCCTACCCCTATATTGTTCCACCCCTCTTCCCTTCCCCAGTGGTAACCACTAGTTTATTCTCTAAATCTGTGAGTCTGCTTCTTTTTTGTTATATTCATTAGTTTGTTGTATCTTTTAGATTCTGCCTATAAGTGACATCATACAGTACTTGTCTTTCTTGGTCTGACTTATTTCACTTAGCATAATACCCTTCATCCATGTTGCTGCAAATGGCACCGTTTCCTTCTTTTTTATGACTGAGGAGTATTCCATTGTGTACATAAGCCATTCATCTTTATCCATTCATGTGTTGAGGGACACTTATTTTGTGTGCCTACCTTGGCTATTGTAAATAGTATTTCTTTGAACATTGGGGTGTGCATGTATCTTTTTGAATTAGTATTTTGTTCATTTTAGATATATACTCAGAAATGGAATTGGTGGATCATATGAGTGTCAAAATGTCCTGAATATTACTGGAGTTCAGTAAATGTGTTGAATAAATGAATGAATGAATGATTTCATACACTTAAGAAAATTACTGAAGCATATTTCCTCTTTACTCCTATGTTGTTGTTTGTTGCTGTCGTTTACTCGCTAAGTCGTGTCCAACTCTTTGCGACCCCGTGGACTGTAGCTTTCAGGCTCCTCTGTCCATGGGATTTCCCAGGCAAGAATGCTGGAGTGGGTTGCTATTTCCTTCTCCAGGAGATCTTCCTGACCCAAGGATTGAACCCATGTCTCTTGCATTGGCAAGTGGATTCTTAACCACTAAGCCACCAGGGAAGCCACTTTACTCCTATACATATAATTTATTCTCTACAGTTCATGTTTTCTCTTTGATTGCATTTATTGGCAACCCCATGTCTTAAAACTGTCCTATAAAGTGCCGATGTTCTCTGATTCTTTCTCCTCCCAAGAATCTGCTGTGGTAATGTAAGTAGTAATTAAGCTACATTCGTTCCTAAGGCTTCTCAGTCATTTGGGGTCTAGAAAGATAAGTAGTCAACAAAATTGAAACATGTCTTTATTCCCCCTTAAATATAGATTTGTCGAGAAAGCTATGGTGTGATTGAACAGAAGCAGCTGATACCAGGAGGAGACAGAGTGACTGTGTGCAAGGAGAACAGGTTAGTCTTGACCCTTGACTGTGCACATGTAACTTCATTTCTCTACGCTTTTAAAGCCAAGACTGAAGTTAACTTTTCATCCCTTCTTCAGAGGGAATAAGAGTGCTAGGGCAAGTTTACAGATTTAATAGTGGAGGAAGCAGTGGACCTGGGTTTAGAAGGTAACTGTTTGTTCTGCATCTCTGTCTTACTGGCTTTGACCCTGGTCAAACCACATGAACTACCTGATCTCAGTTTCCTATCCTGTCAGTAGGGGGTTAAAATAACCATTCTACCTCCCTGATGGGAGACTAAGTGAGGTAATTATAGGAGAATATTTTGACATTTTGGAATGAATGAGCTCCCAGCATTTATAGAAGGTTTCCAGTATCCCTCAGAGTGACTGGCACAAAAACGCTCCAAAAAATGTGTTGAATAACCGAATGTTATAAAAATGCTTACTTTTATTGGCGGTGGTTTTCATTGATGAAGAGTTTGTAATATAGATTTTAAATTCAATTCTTTGTGCCTCATGAAAATTAATACAGGTACATCTGATTTTTTAGTACGATATTCTGTGTTCTCTCTTTGAAGGAGAAAAAAATTCAGTTTTGTTTGTTTTTGAATTAGAGTGAGGTTGTTGGCCATCTGCATGTTAATTAATTCAGTTTGCAAACACTGAGTGCCTGCTGTGTGCCAGGTCTGTTGCTGGATTTAGGAAGTGAGTAACTTTTATCCTCGGTGCTAACTGGGAAAGGACAGCGTAATGAATAATTGCAGTAGATTATGGTGCATGTGGTAGGTAAGGGATAGAACAAGTGCCATGGAACCAGAGGGAGAAGCCATAACACTTTCACTGAACATCGGAGAGTGAATGGGCGAAACATTTCAGGCACAGGGAATGATGTGAATCTGAGTCTCAGATTTAACACATGATAGAGAATGGTGAGTACTTACTGGGTGGGGGCTAGTGTGTGGATTAAGGGTGGGTGCAGTAGTAGTAGGGTGAAACTTGTCAAGACTTTGAGTGGTTTTGACGTGGGACATGGTTGATCTGTTTTAGAATGATAACTGGTGGCCATATGGAAATGGACCATGTGTGAGAAGACCCATAGGAGACTGCTGAGGTAACTCAGGTGTCAGGTGGTGAGGGCCAAAATGAAGGCAGCAGGGATGCAGAGTCAGCTATGTGTTGGTTATGTAATGAACAGGAGCTAGTGCCTGATTATGTATGGACCCTACTAGAGATGCATGTATTGATAACATGCATGTATTGAGGCTTATAACATGCATGTATTGAGGCTTCCAGTTTGGACAACAGGAAATAGAATCTGTAGAGCAGGGTGGACAGGAAAAAGAGTTCCTTTTTGTTTTTTTTTTAAAGAGTTTCATTTTATAAATGTTGCTTTTGACATGTCTGTGTGATACGTAGGTAATTTTGTTTAGAGCTGAAGATTTATGTATGTCTTGAGAAGTCTTTTTTTTTTAATCAAGTCATAGTTTCTAAATAGGATATTTCCTTTTTCTTTTTTGCATTTCAAATTTTAATACAATTTTTAAAGGTTACTTTGCATTTGCAGTTATTACAAAATATTGGCTACTTTCCCCATATTGTACAGCACATCCTTGAGCCTACCTTACACCCAGTAGTTTGTCCCTCCCACTCCCCAACTCCTGTGTTGTTCCCCCTCCCTACCCTCACTGGTAACCACTAATTTGTTCTTTGTATCTGTGAGTCTGCTGCTTTTTTTGTTATAGTCACTGATCTGTTGTATTAGAAGTCTTATTGTCAGTAGTTTGTATAGTTACTTATGCCAGCCTTAACCATCAGTGAATTTGAGGTTTGCCTACACAAAGAAAAACGTGCTGAAATAAAAAAGCAAGGATGGGAGAAAAATGTATGTTCTTAGAAGAGTTAAATATATTGGAACAGAAGGGAGACTCTTGTGATGAGGATTTAGAGATCATTAACACACTGGGTAGAGACAAAACTTCTTGACTTGAAGAAGTGGTGGGTGTGCAGAAAGATGAGGTAGGTGTCTCTCATCTTCCTGCAGAAAGGTGAGGGCGTGGTGGCCTCCACTTGGGAGGGTTATGAGTGAGGGAAGCCTGGAAGCAAGGGTTCACTGATGCTGTGGAAAAAGGTTACAGATGTAGAGAAGTTGGATGCTGTTTTGGGTATGTTGGGAAATGAAAGCTTTGGGTTTTAATTGGCTTCTTATTGTACATAGTTGCAAAGATGCAGAAAGAAATCCTGTATAAGTGATGTATATTGGCTTCCTCCCATAAATCTTCCCTTTTGAAAGTAGGAGTGACAGAAAAACTGATAGGTCTCCTCTTCCATCCCTTTACATTTTAAAAAATAGCTAGAAGCCAGGGTGATCTAATGTAGCATTAGGTAATCTTTTTTGTCATGTAAACCTTCCAGACTACCCAGGAAGTGTCATCTTTGGGGAAAGTGTGAGCTATAATACCAGAGTTAGCTGAAATAATGCAGAAGTTGCCAAGGACCCAACAAAAACTGCTTCAGGTGATCTTGACTCTGGGAACCTAGTACAGAGGCTAGTCTTGTCTCAAGTAGGTATGTTACCAAGTCTCAAGTAGGTATGTTACCAAGTTCGAGCTCGCTCTGTTCACTGCATGCAAGGCCAGTGAATCTTACAGACAAGGTACTGAGGCAAGGAATATGACTTTATTTGGAAATCTGGCTGACGGAGAAGATTGCAGACTGATGTCTCAAAATAACCATCTTGTCAGGGCCTGGATGTCAGGTTCTTTTATAGAACCAAAGGGAAAAGCAATGAGGAACTAAAGTCAAAAGGCAGAATAGAGAGGGAGAAGCAGTGAGGAAGTTAAGTAAAAAAAGGTCTTTGGTTTTACAAAATGTCTCCAGGAAGGGCCAGCCTTTGGAAGGGGTATGTTCAGTTCAATCGCTCATTGCTCATCCTGTCTGACTCTTTGTGACCCCATGGACTGTGTGGCACACCAGGCTTCCCTGTCCTTTACCATCTCCTGGAGTTTGCTCAAACTCATGTGCATTGAGTTGGTGATGCCTCCAACCATCTCATCCTCTGTTGTCCCCTTCTCCTCCAACCTTCAATCTTTCCTAGCATCAGGGTCTTTTCTAATGAGTCAGCCCTTGGCATCAGGTGGCCAAAGTATTGGAGCTACAGCTTCATAATCACTTCTTCCAGTGAATATTCAGGACTGATTTTCTTTAGGATTGACTGGTTTGATCTTGCTGTCCAAGGGACTCTCAAGAGTCTTCTCCAGAACCACAGTTCAAAAGCATCAATGGAATGTGTTAGTCTTTCTTTTTTGTAGTCATTCACAGATGGGCAGGGTCAGATTATCTTTTTATGAGCTGAAAAAAGGCACTTAAGTTTAACAGTCAAACAGAGTAGCAGGGTTCTTTGAGACAGGCCATTAAGTATGATTATAATAACTGCAAGAAAAAGCAACTCAAAGAAACAGTTCCAACATGGAGTCGGAATTATTTCTTCTCTGCAGCAGGTGTTTCATTGGAAACTCTTACTTGATAAGAATGTTTCCAAGCTAAAAGCACTGTCCCTTCCTTATCTGTATAACATTGGTACTTTTATTAACTGCTAACTATTTGTTTAATAAAAACAGTATTATTCCATAGAATCTGATAGTATTTTTTAAATTGGGAAATTTACTGCAGATCATAAAGTTGCTAAAGGGCAGAATAAAAGGCAGAATAACAGTGACAGTCTTTATTTTCTTGGGCTCTAAAAATCACTGCAGGTAGTTACTGCAGCCATGAAATTAAAAAGATGCTTGCTCCTTGGAAGAAAAGCTATGACCAACCTAGACAGCATATTAAAAAGCAGAGACATTACTTTGCCGACAAAGCTATGGATTTTTCCTGTAGTCATGTATAGATATGAGAGTTGGACCATAAAAAAAGCTGAATGCCAAAGAATTGATGCTTTTGAACTGTGGTGTTGGAGAAGACTCTTGAGAGTTCCTTGGACTGCAAGGGGATCCAACCAGTCAATCCTAAAGGAAATCAGTCCTGAATATTCATTGGAAGGACTGATGCTGAAGCTGAAGTTCCAAACTTTGGCCACCTGATGTGAAGACCTGACTCATTGGAAAAGATGTTGATGCTGGAAAAGATTGAAGGCAAGAGGAGAAGCGGATGACAGAGGACAAGATGGTTGGATGGCATCACCGACTCAATGAAGATGAGTTTGAGCAAGCTCCGGGAGTGGGTGAAGGACAGGGAAGCCTAGTGTGCTGCATTCCATGGGGTCACAAAGGGTCAGACATGACTGAGCGACTGAACTGAACTGATAAAGTGGCTTTTGGGTTCAGGTGATCTTGTTACTGAGTCCAAGTACTCTGCTCACTGAACAACAAACCCGTGAATCAGAGAGATGAGGTGTTGAGACAAAGAATACAGCTTTATTTGGAAAGCTGGCTGACAGAGAAGATGGCAGACTGCGTCTCAAAATAACTGTCTTGTTGGGGTCTGGACCTCAGGTTCTTTTATAGAACCAGAGAGAAGCAATGAGGAACTAAAGTCAAAAGGCAGAATATAGAGTGGGAGAGTTAGTGAGGAAGTTAAGTAAAAAGGGTCTTCAGTCTTGCAAAACATTTCTGGGAAGGGCCAGCCTTTGGAAGGAGTGTGTTGAATCTCTTCTTTCTCTCTCTTTCTCTCCTGGTTTTTTTTTTTTTTTTTTTTTTTGCAGTCATTCGCAAGTGGGCAGGGTCAGATTATCTTTCTATGAACTGAATAAAGACAGTTTAACAGAGTGGCAGGGGCCTTTAAGGCAGGCCACTATATATGGTTATAAGAGCAACAGCAACAAAAAACAAGTCAAAGAAACAGTTCCAGCATGGAGTCAGACTTGGTTCTTCTCTGTAACAATTCTTCTTCCTTCCTGGTTTTGGTGACCACTTTTTAACATATATGTGTACATATGTAGATACATCTATAGCCTTTAGACGTTTCAAAGGATGTCTGAACTTTTGCATCAGGTTTCAGACAATAT